CAAAGCTGGCGTGAATCATGTGGATGGGAAAAGCATCTGGCCACCCCGTTGGTCTCCGATGGCCCAAGTACCCATCCCTGCTTGGCTGAGGGGTGCCCTTTCCCCTTGCGGAGGCAAGCTTTCGAGTACCGGCGTATGATCGCCGTCGCTGGTATGCGCGCCAGCCATCTGGAATGGATTCGGGATTGAATCCACTATGAGGTCGTCATCCGCCTTCAGGATAGCAGTAGTATTTGCCACGCATTTCCGAAATCCGACACCTGCCAAGGGACAGTATGGATGCGTTTCCTATCCGCCCTCTGAGCCTCCAGGAAATACTTAGACGGAGGGCAGACACATGCCACCGCATGATGCTCACTTTCATGCATTGGATCAACACAGGACAAGAGTCGCCCACGGCCGCTGTATTATAGAGATATTCCTACGAGCAATTACTCCCAGCGACCCATTAAAGTAAAAGGCTATTTAAGTAAGTAGTCAGGGCAGGTCAAGGTTAGGGTTATGAACCGCCGGTCATTCCTCTACAGGTTGACGAATGGAGAGACAGGTCGATGGTAATTACATCCCTGCCTTCTGCTTTGTATTTCACCAAGATCGCCGGCAGTCACCCTAGGTATTTCACCGCCAGGAATCTCAACGTGGGACATCTCCCCGTGGCTATCGACATCTCCCTGGCGTTCCACCGGCGGCTCAGGAATAGTTTATATACAAAAAACGTGTGACAACTTAGGCAGATACAACATGAGTTCAGTATCTGCCTGTCTCCAACAAAGTAATAGTACAGTAAAATCAAATCGATTGTCCATAAGTCCCTCTTCCTTCAATGACATCTTGCAAGAGTGGTGATTAAGGAAAGTGGCAATTGAGAGATGTATCAAGAAAACTGAGTCGTCAATTGTCCTAGGTTTCAAATCAACGTCAGACTTTTAAACAGCTCAGGAGGAAAACACGCGCACGACGATACTATCATACGTTAGGGGGGTTCAGAAGGTTGATGGTTGATTGTGAGCCTGGGGTCCTTCGGATCCAATAAAGGGCGAATATGTATAACAGCAGCACCACTCCTCCTCCTAAGAACAGATAAGCATGGTAACAGCATAAGGGAGGAAATTATGCACCGAGTGCCCCAGCTACTATGCCTGCAATTTCAGAACCAGTGAATATCATGTTTAGCTAGTCGTCGTCAAGAAAGAAAAGGATCTTATGCCATTTAGAGATACATCCTGTGAGGTCAGCTCATGCTTCCTTTCCCACGTGTGATTGGACTTCCCAACTCGGAGCTTATTTGAATTGGATCGCATCACCTCATACCATTTGATCCCCTGCCAAAAGTTGGTGGCAGTGTCAAACTCTTGAGTGCGATTCCGGGTTTCTGCGCCGAAATGTGCCACGCGTTGAGACGAGCAAATCGACTTAAATCTTCCAAAAGCAATGACAGGAGTCCCTACGCCTGGGAAGGAGCTCTCCTAGAAACATCCCAGATACACTCACCCCACTGACTGGTGGATACTTGACAGCCTGCTTCTATGAACCCAGCGGTGAATCTGGATAGTTGACCGAATTCGGCCATGAGCGGTTGGAAAGTACGGGGGGGACGGCATGTGGAGGATAGTGCTGTTGTACAGCCGCCGTCAGCCAGTCTTGCCTTGTCATCCAACGTTGCACATGTCCGCAACCGCCGTTATTTGGAAGCACCTAGTAAATCATGGGTTGGCATCCAATCCACATCCGTGGTGTGATACAGCTACGTCGCCGGACTCTGGGCATTGGAGCATCGTGATTTCCTGAGCCGGAAGAGGTGTATAGGAAAGACCGCTACACATGTCTCGGGTATCCCACGTGGACTGGGCAATGGGCGGCGATGCTCCCAGGGAGTCTCCGCCGCTGAGTTCGGAAGTGCTGATCCAATCTATCTCGAATCCTCGTGCGCCGCTATTGCTGCTCGTGTCAGGTGTCGTCCTGAGGTCTGAGCAACATAACTTACAGACTGGAGTGTGAAGTTCAATGATCACTCCATACGAACTGCAGCTTCTCAAGGTCATAATTTATCTTATGCGCTTTGCTCAAAACGTGATCAGCCTCGAAAAGTGTTCGGCATGTGGATTGATTTTTGATTTTAAGATTACTCAGGAACCCCAGCCGTTGGGGCTCTAAGTTGAAGTGCGCCTAGATACGTGCCGGAGCTGACAGCACGTTTTCTCTAGTGTTGCGGGAGATTCGAGTTAAATCTGAAAGGAATCATTTGAGCATCCGGAGTGGGACTGGACCTCAAGCGAGGCATAACATTCCATTACAGAGACAGGTAGATAGATTACACGGGGCGATCGATGTTGAGTCCGAGCGGTCATACAGGAGACCGCCGCATCACGCGGCAGTGTTTCAAGCTAATTAAGTTTTCGCTCGGCAGTGATTGTATTGACAGCCCAACAGAAGAAACATTATCTTGCAGGCAGAGAAACTGTACATAATAGTTCAATTAAAAAGCTTTCTTTTCAGAACTTCATCTATATGGCACGGGCGAGATTCGAACTCGCAGCTAGGCTACAATGATTGCTTAGCAGAGCTCCACGTTTAACCGTTACCCCACAGTGCCATGTTTGTGTCGCATTATGCCCAATAGTTGCCAAGGACTTGGGCGCCCAAACTTTACCCAATTGCCAGCTTCTCAAGGTCACAATTTATCTTACCTTTAAAAACGATCATTAGGAATTGTATTGTCATTAGGAATTGTATTGACAGCCAAACAGAAAAACATCATCTTGCAGGCGAAACTGTGCATAAACATGCATTCGCATGTGAGCCTCCTTCGTCCGGCTCGGGACCTTCGGCCTCGATCCTTAGTCGTCTCACATGGGTGCTCGCGAAGGAAGCAATAACGATGGATTAACAGGCTAGCATTTCAACTAGTGAAAGGTAGAAAAACGCGTACTTAAAAAGACGCGAAAAGTAAACTTGTTCAATCCTGCGGCAATGGCCGACTGTTATGACATCACTATATTACTCATATTTACCAAAACGGGAGGTGGCGGTGACGCCGTGGGAGTTGCTAATGGCACAAGCGCCCACTAGTTCCACCCTATCTTCCCGTTAGCCAGTTATTGCTTCGCTTCGCTCGCAATAATTAAATTAAAAAGTTATCTTTGCAGATTTCGTGTATATGGCACGGGCGAGATTTGCACTCCCAGCTGGGCTACAATAATTGCTTAGCATAGCTTCAGGATTGACCGTTACCCCACAGTGCCACGTTCGTCTAACATTATCCCAATAATTGGGGAAGACTTGGGCGCCTAAACTTTCATGGATCATTCCATACGAACCGCCGCTTCTCAAGTACGGTTTACTCAAAACGTGATAAGCCTCGAAAAGTGTCCGGCATGCGGATTGATTTTTGATTTTAAGATTGCTCAGGAACCCCGACTATTGGGGCTCTAAGTTGAGGTGCGCTCAAATACGTGCCGGCGCTGATAGCACATTTTCTCTAGTGTTGCAGGAGATTCGAGTTAAATCTGGAAGGAATTATTTGAGCATCCGGAGTGGGACTGGACCTCAAGCGAGGCACAACATTCCACTACAGATAGACAGATAGATAGATAGATTACACGGCGCGATCGCCGGGGGGGGGAGGGGAGGGGGGTTCCAGCGGCCCTTTTCGGGTTCTGTGGGAGCCATCAAAACTGGTCCGTGCGCTGAAAGCAAAAGATATATAAATGCCACACGTTATCCGCCCCACCTGTTACCTCCCCTAAGTTCTATCCTGCTACCCACTATGGTATCTAGTGCTAGCTCACCTACTCATGACTCAGAATATGACTCAGACGACCAGGATGGGGGGGATTATGAGAAACTTCTCGCCCGTCTTGCGGCGCTGAGAGCAGAAGAGCAGTCGCCGGCCCAGCCACCTCGAAGTCATGAGAGAGTAGCAAGGCCCAGTGACTCAGACGACCAGGATGGGGGGGATTATGAGAAACTTCTCGCCCGTCTTGCGGCGCTCAAAGCAGAAGAGCAGTCGCCGGCCCAGCCACCTCGAGGTCAGAAGCGATCTGCCAGCCCCAGTGCGCAGCCGGGCACAAAGCCAAAAAAGCCCAAGGTCAGGCCCGATGCCTATAATCCCCGCCGCAATGTTTTTGACCATTTAGCTGTAGAGACACCCCGTTTCCGACTCAACCCCTAGAGAGGTAAGTTACCCTTGCTCGCCATGCTCCAGTGCCTCATGCGCCACAGCCTTGCACACGTTGCACACAAAGGGGACTCCACTGTATTCCTGCGGATTTGACGAAACCCGGTGTCCCGTGTGGATTTTGTAGAAAGTCCAAGTCCAGGTGCTCGTGGTTGCACCGGTCTGCCACCGAGCCTGGGGCTGCGCTCGAGCCTAAACCCAAAAAAAAGAACGCACAAAAGGGCAAACCTGCTGTTCACGCCGCTCCTACTGCTCTCCCTACCAAAAGGCGACCTGCTACCCAGGTCAACGCCGTCGCCGGTCCTTCACGACTTCCACCCACGTCCCTCACTGGCCAGCATACCCCACACCCAGCGGCCAATCCCTCCCCTGCTAGTACCCACGCCGCGGTCCATCGCACCGGTCAGACCAGTGTCTCTCCCAATGCTGCACCTGGTCTCCCTAACATCAGCGCCGAACCACTGGTGATGGCTCTTTACAGCTTCCACACCGATGTTACTGCACATCTCACAAAGCACGTCCTTACCCTTGAAGACCACGTGTCGCTGCTAAAGCATGCCCTTACTGCCTTGGCCGCGCAGCAACTTGAGCTGCTTAAGCAGCACGCGCTCCTAAAGTCCAAGCTTCGCTCCATACAGGACACAATTGGCGTAGATGACACAATTGGCGTAGATGGCACATTCCCCGGGATCTCGCGCTAGTGACGTCGACGGGCCCATGCTTGTTTTCTTCTTACCTACGCGCACCCTCCGCTGCCGCCACATGTTCCTTATTAAGAGTTAGCCTGTATTGTCACAGATATCCTTGTTGCGCCGGGACAGAACGCTCCAACCAATTTGCTTGCCTTCTGTGCCGTCTTTTCCCGCCCGCTGCCTTTGTGTATTTTGTCCATACACTTATATGTAACAAAGGTATATACTCCCCAACTCAGAACTTTGCGTAATATCCGTTTGCTTGCTGCTTGAGTAACCTCTAAGCTGGATTGTTTTGTTGGCGCCTACGTTATCCACAACTATGTTTAGGTACTGGGGGCATAAATCAACTGACATGGCCAAATCGGGCACTGAATGGCCACTACTCAATCGGTCCTGTTACATAGAAGTGCGCGGACCGGATCCAAGGGTTATCAATTCTGTCCTAATGAACAGCACGTGGCAGCCCCTGCTCTTGCCAATGGACGATCCACTTGCCCAGAATTTAGCCCAACTTTCCCTCTCTAACCACGGCCTGAATCCAATCAGCCAACTTCAGTTACGACGGCACGAATTTCCCATCAGCTTCAGTCATCCACAGGCATTAGCCTGGTCCAGGCAACCGCGAGATTTCCAGATTCAGCCCAAGGACGATGGCCAGAGTGACGCCCAGCAGCTAAAAAATCGTCTTGCCCGTGGCGCACAGTCCATTGATAACTCCCCACCAGGTGCTCTCAAACTCACCTCAATTAGCAAAACGCATGATAAATACGCTAATCCTGACGGTCGCAGAGCTTGCCTTATAGGCTGGCTCTACCATGTCAACCTTCTTTGCTGCCATGTGACACACATGCCGGCATGTGCTCGCCTGCTCATTCAGTTCTGCCATGTTCTCCTTCCGAAAGCCGATGGCGGAGAGACGGACATTGTCAGTCATTACACTTTTTTTCTTTTGCCGTCATTTCTGAACTACTCCCATAGATTAACTTCTATGAAGTCATCCTGGGAATGAAACCACAAAGCCTCTGTATTCACAGTCGTCTTTTTCTGCTTCCCTGTGTGTTCTTAGCCTTTTTATTTATTCTTCCATCTAATGTAATTCCAGTATCAAGCAACATTCATGCCTTGCTTGATGACCGTGTTTTCGTTATCATGCCTTCTGCTGAAGTTTTGAGCCTTGTGTTCCTATACCTTCAAGAAGTTTTGGCATTTCGCGCAGCCCCAATTGACGGTTTCATATGTTGGGAAAATTTACGAAAAGGCAGTTTCCGACGAGCTCTTCAAGATGTTCCTACTTTGGGAGAGCTTGTAAGTGATTTTTTTATGCTAGTGCTGAAAGGCTAATCTTGTTTTTCCAGCAAGATGGGAGCATCTATGAATACTATGTTCTTACTCACCCTGGCACCAACCCGTTTGTCATACAGCATTTAAAGCCTTATGGTGAAGGAAAGTTCTTCTCTCATTTATCGCCCTTCGCTGCGGTAATGAATTGTCTGGTGTCATTGCGTTCCTGGAATGATGGACGAAAGTGTCCCGCTTATCGGCCTCGCAAAGGTCTCACACTTATTGATGCTCTTGAAGAGTCATCGATTCCTAAAAAGGGAGACGTTCATAGAAACTTGAAGGGGATATGCCAAATGATTAAGAGTATATTTGACAGTCCAGGGGGGAGTAGTCGTAGTCAATCCAGTGGAAGTCATAGTCATAACACTAGGGAAAGTGGGAGCAGTAAGGGCAGTAAAAAAAGGAAAGGGCCAAAGCGAGGTTATACTGAAACTCTAGAGCACATGGGTCTCCTGAACTTGCCACTGGGCGATTGGCCCAATGAGTCTGGAAACGCCGGAGGACCACCGCCAGGATCGACTGCTCCAGGTGCGCGCGAAGAGGCTTTGGAAGGTTGGATACTGTTCCTTCCAGATCAGTCGGTTCGCTCCATTTGGACAAATGATATGGAGGAAACGGAGTCCGGAATTGTCATGGAACCCGGGCTAGAAGACCGCTTGAGCGGGCTGTCACCTGCGCAACAGATCAGAGATGATTGGTATCGGGCATATTCCACCTGTGCACCCGCCCCCTCGCTGACTACGCCGGTTACCCCCTCTTTGGTCCCCTCACTGATCTCGCGGGCCGCTCTGTCACCACCTTCGTTAGCTACCCCGTTGCTTCCGCCGGCCGCCCCTTCTTCTATCTTATCAGCCCCCTCGCCGGCTCCGCCGGCTGCCCTCTCTCTTGCTGGAATTGGACGTTCCTCGCCCGCCCCCTCGCTTACTCCGCCGGTTACCCCCTCTTTGGTCCCCTCACTGATCTCGCGGGCCACTCTGTCACCACCTTCATTAGCTACCCCGTCGCTTCCGCCGGCCGCCTTCTCTTCTATCTTATCAGCCCCCTCGCCGGCTCCGCCGGCTACCCTCTCTCCTGCTGGAATTGAACATTCCTCGCTTTCCACCTTGTGTAGCGGAACACCTTCACCGCCCCTTACACTTGTGTCCGTCGAATCTACTGCTTTTCACAGGAAGGGCGATACCGTGCAAAAACACGTGTCAGGAGAGCGATGGGGGTTGGGCCGCTGGGCAGGACCCAATCAGAATTAACATCACATCGATACACATTGATCAATTATAACTCTTGCAATGCCATTTTCTCAGCGCCGCTTGGTCACAGTGATTCCCAATCATAACTGCCGGCGGTGAACAGCGTACCAACCCTAAAGCGAAAACGTCCTTG